CCGCCGCTGGCTGCTGCGGCGGTGCTGCCGCTACAGCCGCAGCTGGCTGCAGCGGCGGTGCTGCCGCTACAGCCGCAGCTGGCTGCAGCGGCGGTGCTGCCGCTACAGCCGCAGCTGGCTGCAGCGGCGGTGCTGCCGCTACAGCCGCAGCTGGCTGCAGCGGCGGTGCTGCCGCTACAGCCGCAGCTGGCTGCAGCGGCGGTACTGCCGCTACAGCCGCAGCTGGCTGCAGCGGCGGTGCTGCCGCTACAGCCGCAGCTGGCTGCAGCGGCGATGCTGCCGCTACAGCCGCAGCCGCTGCTGGCTGTGGTAGCTGGGCAGGTAATCTGCTCCTTACTCCCTCCTGCCTGTCCTCCCATTCGGATCCCGGCTGGAAGGTGGGCAGCGCGGAAATGGAGGTATTGTACGACGGCAGCGGGAGATTCCCGCCGTTTGCGCCACTGAGCGTCGAATCCCTCTCCAACGTACTTTCGTACGGCAGCGCCAGGGTACCCCCTGTGGCGTTGCGCGGCCCGGCGGCAGCGGTGGCCATTGCCGCCGGAGGTGGGGGTAGCCACTCGTAATGAATTTGGGTAATTCACACGCGTACATGCGCTTAAAGCGTTTCATCGCCAACCTTATCGCACAAGCTATCACTGATATAGTGACTAATCCTGCATCAGGATTGACACCTCACATATCAGGTCGTATCGGCTATGCCGCCGACAAAATCACTCTACCAGTGCGGGCAGGTCCTTAGCAAGTTACAAGTTACATGTTCCGCACACAAGTGCGGGTGTGTCCCTAAAAGCCGGGGGGGCCCAATGGACGTTGTATTGGTATTGATGCGGGTACGCGGGAGGCCATCATCATCCTCCCTCGTTCGCTTCAGGGGGAGGCGCCTCAGCGCGACGTGCCTGGCCTCCCAATAATATCGCATAATTGCACCCCAGACGTGACTTGTGTGTGGGGGGGGGGGGCTTAGGGTTTTAGGGTTTTAAGGTCACACGGCGCGGCGCGGCGATGTGTGCGGGACATACATCAGCACGCACGTGCAGGTACACACAAGGAGGGACACATGGAGCAGCTTACCTTGAGGGTGCGAAGCCGCAGCCGCAGCCGCAGCCGTCGTCGTGCTTGCTGCTGCTGTAGGCGCCGCGGCTGTTGCCAGTGATGGGCCCACGCCACCAGCGGTGCTGCTAGGACCAGCAGCACCGCTGGCGCCAAATCGGAAGGGAAAGCTCGGAAATAACGCCGGCTGCTGCTGCTGCTGCCCTGCCACCGGCCCTGGTGCCGCCGCACCCGGGTTCCCTCCGCCTCCCCCTCCCAGGAATGAGAAGGGTGGAAACAACGTTGATGAGGGCGAGGATGAGGACGGCACGAGGGGCGCTGTGGCTGTGGAGGGCCCCGGGGGGGCGCCGGTAGCCGTGGCCGGTCGCGCAGCCTCCCTCTGCGCTCCCCACCCACCTCCGAAGGACGACCCAAACCATGATCCCGAAGACGATCCAGCGCCACCAGCGCCACCAGCACCACTGGCAGTAGCAGGCCTCGTAGTGGCTGTAGCACCTGTACTACCCGTACCTGCGCCAGCAAAGGCAGCGGCTGCGGCGGCTGCAGCGGCTGCAAACGTAGCGGGCACCAAGTTGGCGTCTCCCGCGTTGCGAACACGCGCCTGTCTGTCCTCCCATCTGAGCTCCTCGTGGGACCTGGCGGCGGAGGGGATAACCTGGTAAGGAGGCATGGCGGATATGGAGACGATGGAAGTGGCTGTTTCTTCTTCCCGGATAGGGCGTCCTGGAGTACGTGATGAACCGCGTGCCAGCACCGCCGGGGGTGGCGACGGGGTTGAAGGGCGGCGTGGAGGCGGTGTAGTCCGGCGGCCGAGAGCTTCCAGGGCTCGGGAAGGGGGAGGAGGAGGAGGGGAAGGAGGAGGAGGGGGAGGAGGAGGAGAGGGCGAAAGGGAGGGAGGAGAAGGCGCGGGTTCCTGCGAAGGCAGCGGACGCAATAGGGGGATTCAAGGACCGGGCAGACAGACAGACAAACAAGCAGACAAAGACAGATAAACAAACAGACAGACAGGCAGGCATGTGAGCGGTTCCGCCCCGCCTACCTCCAAACGCAAAGGCGGGCTGTCGCGGCACGGCTGTTCCCCACGGGTTGCTCGAGTGCGGATCCGCGACTTGCCCGCGCGGGATCGACCCTGCCGCGGCAGCCCCTCCTGCTTGGGGCCCAGCCGGCGGCGACGGCGGTGGTGCCGCCGCTACAGCCGCTGCCGCCGCTGGCTGCTGCGGCGGTGCTGCCGCTACAGCCGCAGCTGGCTGCAGCGGCGGTGCTGCCGCTACAGCCGCAGCTGGCTGCAGCGGCGGTGCTGCCGCTACAGCCGCAGCTGGCTGCAGCGGCGGTGCTGCCGCTACAGCCGCAGCTGGCTGCAGCGGCGGTGCTGCCGCTACAGCCGCAGCTGGCTGCAGCGGCGGTACTGCCGCTACAGCCGCAGCTGGCTGCAGCGGCGGTGCTGCCGCTACAGCCGCAGCTGGCTGCAGCGGCGATGCTGCCGCTACAGCCGCAGCCGCTGCTGGCTGTGGTAGCTGGGCAGGTAATCTGCTCCTTACTCCCTCCTGCCTGTCCTCCCATTCGGATCCCGGCTGGAAGGTGGGCAGCGCGGAAATGGAGGTATTGTACGACGGCAGCGGGAGATTCCCGCCGTTTGCGCCACTGAGCGTCGAATCCCTCTCCAACGTACTTTCGTACGGCAGCGCCA